TCCTAATCATGTTTTCAGGTCATCTAGGGTTAGTTTTAGTTAAGCCTAAAATTGTAGGATCATTACTCTCTTTAGGGGATGCTTGGTTCAAGGTAAAGGTATAGGTTATAAGTTAAATTAATGCAACAGGTGTCCTCGGCCTATCACTCAGCATATTGGATGTTGGAGGTAGTGTCGTGATATAAAATCCCTTACGACGCTATTGCCCTCATTATTTTTTTAGCCTCGGCCTACTGGATACTGGAGGGAGCTTAGTTGACACATGGGGGAGTTGAAATTCACTTTAGATTATTGGTAAAAAACTATATCAACATCACAGGGAATGAATATTGCTCCTGGATTTTATAATTATCCTGGTGTAGTCTTTGTGTGGTGGACTATAAATTAACGTATTCGTTATTTATATCAGGACGCAGTGACGTCAAAACAAAATAATGAAGTACACCCCCGCTATGATAGCCAGAGGCATCACCGTAAATGTCACAATAACATCTTTCGCAGCCCACTCTACCCTGCTCGGTAGTTATGGTAGATAATACGCATGCCCCTAGTGGACAGGAGGAATGGGTGGCAAAAACAAAAAACAAATAACCTTTGATAAAGTGGATGAATCCAATGATCTGTTATTTCAGGGAGCAGTCTCCCACGAGCACGGTGATGACCGAATAGCTCATAGCTTCTGGCCGACCAGGACCAAGGACGCAAATAGAAATAGACTGGTCTACTGCGCAAATAGTATCCATTAGCTGCCCACATTGTCTTTTATCGACGTATCTAATCGATATAAGTACGCTATACTTGACACCTAACCTCATTACGCTTTAGGTTATCGGTGAAATCTTTCAGCCAAGCTATTTCGTACTGAAATCCTGATTCCTGACGCCACTGATGCTCTTTTGCGATAAAGATATCATGAAAATTGGGAGTAACATTGATCGCTCTGCCGATAAGTTGGTTACAAACTGCTGTAACGATTGCTGGCCATTATAACTACGCACAAAAAGGACTAACAATCCAGAAGTAGAAGAATAAATATCTTATAAACCCCAATCTCATCAACCTTGTCCAAAAAATCAAGGGTAAATTTCATGAAGCTGATTCAATCTAGGACCTAACCAATTTATCCGTTGGCGGTTAATTAAATGCACTCTATAAATTCAGCTGTCCTTATTTAAAGTGTCAATGGAGCTGCATAATCAGAACACACTTGGTCTCGGGCTCTAACGCTCTAATTCTAATTAATAAATTATTCGGGGCAATATACGTACTCAGATAGTAAACTTATATAGTATGCATGGATGTATGTGGTTTTATCTCACAGCACTCGGGGATGCTGCGGGTTGATTTATCGCTGAGCGTTGCCATGGCAACAACGCCGTGACCGGCTTGTGCGACACCCTCATATCCGACGTATACAGTGGTAAACTCTCCAGCTTACTCTCAACTCAACTCTGGTTTGCAATATAATCAGTACCTTATTCGTTCATCCCTCTACTCTCTACTTTCTACTACCCCTTACGCTTTATTTCTTACTCCCACCGTGACCTGGTGAAGAGGACGAGGATCCTAGCACATGACTGTAAATACTTATATTCTTACCTTCTTTCCTTCCATTCGATTTTATCCAGCTTCTCTGCTAGCAGCTCCCATCCATTTCATCGACTTCTCCTTCAGACTCCGTCTAGTCTTCTTTTCTTCGCTCCCAATTCCAATTCCAATAGAAGGAACTTCAGCTCATCTGCAACTACTTCAACGTTGAACCTCCTTCCAACTATTACGTTGCTCAATTCCATTTTTTCGACACTTACCCCACTTCTAATATCACACCTCTATCTCTAGCTCTACACACACGTGACACCATGACTAAGAAAACTCTCAGATGCTTTTTTTTTTCGCCTCCGGCTTGCTCATACTTTTTCCTCCTCATTATTTTCACTCCTTTGTTTTCATCTTCTTCAAATCCATAATAATAATAACAATAATGATAATAATGCTGCTCCTTGTTACCTAAAACAGAATAATTGACTGATTAAATTTTAGCGACAATAGTGGGATTCAAAGTGCCAGTAAATATTTTTCAGCATTGCTGATTGTATTGATCCGAGGGCTTACAGGTTATACATAGTGGGAGAACTGCGATTGATGACTACCATCTATGTACCATATACTAATTCTGTACATATGTATATATATATATATATTATGTATCTATATATATTTTGTGAATATGTAGACGTCTCTATGGGTATTTATATACATATGGATATGGATTGACAAAATTATTCAGCAGATTTACGTTATTATCGCCGGAAACAAATCAATCGATGACTATTCTCGCTTTGTTCACTTTTTTTATTTTATTTTCTACGTTTATAAAACTTTTGATATTTTTATAGGCAAATATAGACACATACAGTTTTCATGGAATATCTTACCGCGTTTTCAACTCTTTTATGGTTTTTAATCTAGAAACTTTGGGGTTACTTTTTTATAGCGCTTCAGTTTTAGTTTTAGTTGTGGTAAATATTTTAGTTTTTACCGCTTATTATATTTTTTTTTTTTTTTTTCATGGAAATATGTTTTTATTAAAATTCCATGGCAGATTTAGTTTTAATAAATCTATTTGGTTGATTCTCTGTAAGGGTTTTTCGCTGTCCCAGGCATTTTTTTATTGGAAAAATTGTTATTTTGTTACTGAAAAAAATTTTTTACGATAATAAAAAAACATTTCCATTTGGAGCATTGAAAATTAAAATGAAATAAATTTTGATTTTTTTGCTATAAATTCGTAAACCACCGAAATAACAGTCCCCTGGGATGAAACTAAAGTTAGCAGACGTCTAAAAATTTTTAATTTTTCTTATTAGTTAAATTACAACTAAAAAGATATTTTTAAAAAATTGCACTCATAGTTTTTAAAGTTTTTTACAAGTGATTTTTTTTTTAATTTTTTAATTGAAATTTCTTCAATAAAAAATTTCTAAAAATTTTGAAATGTCAGCTAACTTAATTTTCATTCCCCTGGGCTGTCCCGCATTTCCAAAATTGAAACTTTAAGATTAAATTGTAAGTTATTCGTCCATAATATATCATTTTGTCCATGATATTTATAAACTTAATTAGTTAACTAACAATCTTCTTCAATAAAAAGTATACCCAAAATTAATTTGTTTCATTAAATTCATTAAATCAAAGTTTGTCCCAGGTATTTTAAGAACAGTCTTCTGCCAGAAGTTCAAAGCCAAAAAAAAAATCCAGCGTGTTATTTTACCTTTTGTAAGGTTTAGAAGGATCTAACTATCCTTAAGTTAATAACCATAGGGCTATTAGCGCTTTATCGCCATTTTATTTAGTGTCAAAGCACCGTTTGTGCTGGAAATATGTGTCTGGGCCACTTCAAAACTCAGTCCCCTGGCAAATATTTTTATTAATAATTTATTTATAAAATTGGATCCATAAGTCTTAATATTATTCTAATTAATGTAAACATTCATTGAGAACTTGAAAAGTTGAATGCATTGAAATAGTTTGCTTGATTTTTCTCAATTTGATAAAAAAAAAAAAACAGTCCCCTGTCATGTTATATGGTAAAATTTGGCTGTTTAATTTATTATCATTGAGCTGATAGTTTTGTAGCCCTTGTTAATTTTTTTTCTAATAAAATCAAAAATAATTTGGTCGGACAATTTTGTACAGATTTAAAACGTCCTTATAGAGAATCACCCACTTATTATGAAAAATAAAAATTTTTTAATTAATTACAATTATAACAGCTTACAGTTGAAAAGTTCTTTCCTTTCTTCATAAAACGTCAATTATAAAAATATATATTAGACGTGATGAACATATAACCCTTTATAGACGTGAATTAAATTTGTTATCAATCAAATCGAGACGTTTACATTACTTAGCTACTTATTTTTATAAACTACTACAAATAGGAAAACCAAATTATCTTAGGGAATTATTTATTGAAGATGAAGCTAGACGCTCTGAAAGATTGGCAAGCAAAATGAATAATGTAAATTTTGAATTGCCAAAATCTTTACTTTTTCTTTAGAAAACTCTTTTGTAGTCACTGCGATACGCCTATGGAAAAATTTAACGGCAGAAATTGTAAATGCTAGTAGTTTAGTATTTAAGTAAGTATTTAACGTAAAGATGTTCGATTATCTACTTGAACTGGATTTCCAGTAGCTTCTTTATTTTAAACTGGCTTGCCCAGTCATTATTTGATATTTTATATTACAAATTAGTAAATCTGTGCAATTATCTTAGTTAGATCCAAAAGTCATCAAACTTTAAGTTTATTATTAAATGTATGGAGTCAAATAAATTACACCGAAAACATGTAATGTATTTTATAATTCATCGTATCCACACTTTTGTTATGTAAAAAATTAATTAACTTAACACTGTATATTATTATTGTAAGCAAAATTATGTAAAATTTCTTGCCATTCGGCTAATTGCCTTGGCATAATAATAAACACAATACAATACAATACTTACCAATAAAAATTCTTCAAGAACAGTTCTTATTTTTTAAATCAAAAATTAAGAAAAAAATAATACAAAGGATGGCACTGAGAAAAAACTATCATTAATAAAATAAATACTTGATTAAAATAAAATTATTCTATCGATTAAAGTACAAGTTGAAACATCGTATAAAGATACTCGTGGTTGAAAATATAGTTTTGACAATAAAATCAATAAACTCACCTTTTGTCCTTAAAATATTTAATCATAAAATAAAAATTATTGAAAAATTGTTTTATTATCTTTCCTTTGATTTATGTACAAGTTTCCCATTAAATCAAAACAAGAATTACAATAATAATAATAATAATAATAATAATAATATAAAGTGAAATTAAAGAAGACGAAAAATAAAGCTAAGTAATTCAGTTTTAGTTAATTAAATAAAAGTAAAAAATGTAACTTATAAGGAATAAAACGACAAGATAAATAAAGATAACATTAAGATAATAAACCTTTTAATTAACATTCATAGGAAAAGTTGTTAGATCTAACGTTAGTACTTTGCTTTCAAGACAGCTTCCGACCTCTGGACAGATCCCAATCAGGGCGTCTGCGTGACAGTAGAACTCTTCTTTAAGCGAAATAACGATTGTCTGCAACGAACTAGTCTTGTCTCTGATGTAGCTCGCTACCTTCCCAATATTGGTGTTATCCAACGCGGCGTCTATCTCGTCAAGAACAAAAAATGGCGCTGGCTGGAAACTATGAATAGCAAAAAGCAGCGCCAGAGCCGCAACAGTTTTCTCTCCTCCAGAGAGATTCGACATAGGTTGGAACCTCTTTCCCGGAGCGACGCAGTTGTAATTAATACCATCCAAGTAAGGCTCTTCAGGATTCTCCGGACTAAGAAACGCTTGCGCAGACTGATTTTTCGCCAAGCTTTTGTAAATAGGATCGATCTCATTGGCAACATGTTCGAAACACGCCATGAACTTATCGTGTCTCTCCTTTTTGACTTTCTCAAACAGCGTTTTTGCCTTTTTGGCCTTCTTCCTCGACTGTTCAAACTCTTCATTAGTCTCCTGGAGCTTCTCCTTCGCCAGATACAGCTTCTGTATCGCCTTCATATTGGGCGCCTGGATTCTCTGAATATTATTCTGCAAGTCATTAATCGCCTTGTTGATCTTGTCCATCGTCTTCTTGAACTCATCATCTTCTATTTCCTTCAAATTATCCGGCAACGTTCCATAGTCAATTGTAATCCTGCTCTCACGCTCGTACTGCTGCTGCGTGCTCAAAGTTTCATTATTCGTATCATTGTTTGCGTCTCCCGCAATATCCTCCATGTTCCCACGGATCATCGGTACTGCGATGTCCTCCATTTTGCAGTGCATCAGAATAGCATGTCTGTCAGCTCTGCGCTGCTCTATCTTCGTCTCAATATTATTCAGCTGCTTTTGAACTCCCTGTAAATCTTTAGCAATAGCTCCAACGTCCCTACGACATTTACCAATCTCCTCTTCTTTAGCATCAACCTCCATTTTCTTAGTATTTCTCTGGCTCTTAAGCTTCTCCATCTGCGTCTCATCATTGTCAATCTCTGACTTCTGGTTAGCTTCAGTCTGTTTAGCGGATTCCAACTTATCTTCAGCATCCTGAACAGCACGTTCCCATCTCAGAACATTGCTCTCAGTATCTCTCTGCTTTTCAAAGTCCAGCTGGTTCTGGATCCGATTGCACTGATTGTCAAACTCCATTCGCTTCTTGGCTCTTTCTTGCTGCGACCTCAACTCCCTTTCTTCGTACTGCCTGATGTTACTTACTCCGATTTGCTCGCAGAAGCTTGTGAAGACATCATCCTCAACAGTATTCATCTTCTCTTTAATATTCTGGATCTCTTGGTCCCTGGCAGCCATCGTCTTCTCAATAACTGCAATTGTCGGCTCAAACTGATCTAACTCAGATTGTAGCTCCTTCACTTCATTATCACAATCTGCAATCTGCTTTTTGGTTCCCAATAAATCGCTCTTGTTGTACTTCAATCTAGTTTCCAAACCCCTGATCTGAGACTCTATCGTATTTAGCTCAGACTCTTTCCTCGACTTCTTCAAACACTCCCTCAGTTCCTCAGTAAGTTTCTCTTTCTGAGCTTTAAGCTGAGCCATCTGCTTCTCGTCCCAACGTTTGGCTTTTTTGGCCAGATCCAAACTACCACCAGAAATAATTCCAGCCTTCTGGTAGAAGGTTCCATCTAACGCTACACAGTCGTACCTGGTCTTTTTGTCCAGTTCATAGGCGACCTTGTTGGCGTCCTCTGGCGTTTCACAGACCAAAGCGTTGTTAGTTGCAAACAGAACCGCTCGGTCGATATCCTTGGGTGAGAAATGGAGAACATCGTACAATAACTTTACGTTCTTCGGTTCCTTGATGTTCCTTAGACGTTCCTTCAGCGGCTTTGCCTGGATGTAATCAAGCGGTAAGAAAGTCTCTGGTTCAAGATACTGTTCCTTAAGATACTGAATACACGACCTCGCTGTTTTCTCCGTATCAACAACGATGGCTTCCATATACTTGCCCAAAACCTTAGTAACTGCAACATTATACCGTTTGTGAATTGGCTCACACATGTTATACATTCTGTCGTAAACTCCCGGGAAGAGTCGTTTGAAATTCTCAACAATTTCCGTCTTTTTTTTAGTCCTCGCGACTTCGTGCTTGTCTACTTTGGCGTCTCCAAGCTGCTCGGAAATATTCTCAAGTTCTCTTTGAAGACGCTGAACAGTGTCTTTTGAAGAACCGACATCATTCTGAAGATCTGCGCGAAGTTTCTTTTGTTCCTCAAGCGCCGCTTCCGAAGTCTTGATATGTTCCTCGAGTTTCTCGACGCGCTTCAGCTGATCGTCTCGGATATGCCCTTTCTGCTTGAACTTATTTTCTATTTCTGTGCGCTTGCGACTCTCGTTGTCTAGACGATCTTGGTCGGACTTTTGTTCTCGGTTTATCGAGTCCAGCATCTGGAGATACCTGGCAGACTGTTTCCCGGCTTCCTCCTTCAATCGGTTGTACTCACTGACTTGCTCGTCTTCCAGCTGAACATCACGACCTTGCTGTTGAGACTGTCCAGCGATGGAAGCTTCGTAGGCGGCTTTGGCTTCTTCTACCTGTCTCAGCTCTTCCTGGAGCTCGGCAATATCTTTTTTGTGGGCCTCGTCAGCAGCTCGAGCTTGCTGAAGAGACTTGTGAGCAGATTCAACTTTCTTCTGCATGTGAGCAACGCGCTCTTTGGCCTTGATGAAGGTAGGCCGTTTTTTAGTGATCTCGACTTCGACTTCCCGGATGTCTTGCTCTATTTTCGCAAGCTCACGGGTCAATTTACCGAGTTCTTTTTTGCGGTCCTTGAGGACTTCCTCAGCTTTCTCTTTTTTCTTCTCGATTTTATCCAGGTCGTGCTGTCGTTTTTTCTGAGTGTTCTCCAGGTCCTCAATGTCTCTTTCATTGTGGTAAAGTCGGAATAACTGGAGCTCAATCTGTTTCTCGACGTATTCTTCCTTGAGACGCTGGTATTTCTCGGCCTCCTCTTTTTCGAGCTTGGCTTCCTTACGCTCAGCAGCGATTCCCTTCTTTTTCTGGTAGGAAAACTGAGTCTCTTCTTCAGCGCGGAGCATCTCCGAACGCAGTCGTTCGTACTCAGCTTTCAAGGCACCGGAATTACTTATTTCTTCGAAGAGAGCGGTACGCTCTTTCGGGTTCTTCATAGCGATCGATTCCACTGCTCCTTGGAACACCAAGAAGTTTTTGGCTTTCACGTTTATTCCCAGGTGTTCTAGCTCTGATAAGTAGACTTGACTCGTCACCACCTGAAATTTTGATAGAGTTAGTTTTTTTTTATCTAAATAAGTCTTGTGATAAAATTAATAAAAATCAAATTAGTTATCAAACTATTATATTTTTTTAAAATTATATTAATTTTTATCTTCTAATTTATTCAAAGAAACGATTAGTTCATTTTCGGACGTCTGATACTATTATCTTTGATTTTTGTAAGTTAAAAAATGAAAATTGAGATTTTCAATCGAAATCTATATTGATAACTGAAATAATTTAATTTATTCATTTAAAAAATGACCAATTAAATTGTTGAATTTTGGAAATTATCAACTGTAGAAATTTTTTTTTAAAAATATCAATTAATTAATATCTTACAATAATATAAAATTCAATTTATTTTAATCAATGCTGTTTATATTTAGGTACATGTTTTTTTTACTAATTAAAATATCAAACAATCAATATTAATAGACCACCCGTGTAAAAATCATCTGATATCATGATGCGGTTCATTATGAATATCATAATAAGTGAAATATTTATGGGAACAAATTTTTTTTTTTAATTAGATTATAAAATTTTTATTTTTCTTCTTGGAGAAAGAAAATTTTTAGTAATTTGATTATGAAATCATTATGATATTAACATAAAATCATAATGATATCATAGTGATATTGTTAGCCTTTTTGAATCGTGATATAAAATTATTGAGTCATAACTTTATACAGGAAATAATGCAAATTAATTAAATTTTTAGGAGGATTTAAATTGTTTTCAAAATAAAAAATAATTATCTTAAGACGAAAACATTTTATCTGCCAAAAATTTTTCTTAAACCAAGAGTGTTTTCTTAAATATTCTTCTAAGTTAATAAAATCGAGAAAAAAAGTAAAGTAGTTCAACAGTATAGTGCATGATAAAAATACTGTTTTTCTCAATTATTATTATACTATTTAATAAAAAATAACTATAGTCTGATATAACTAATATTTAAATTTATAGATATTTAACTAGTATCATATTATAAAATTAAATTTTTAATAGGCTTTATATTGAAAAAGTAGCAAAAATTTACAAAATTTTGTAACTGATAAAGAAATTTAAACTTTTAAAAAACATAAACAATAACTGTACAAAAATTTGTTTTCATCAATTTTTTAAATATTTATATTGTAAATATTCTAAATAATTTATACCGAGAAAGTATAAGCTATAAAAAAATATTATTTGAGTAAATTTAAATATAATTAATCTTATGAAAATGAAGTTAGCCGACATTTAAAAATGTTTAGAAATTTTTGATTGAAAAAATTTCAATTAAACAATTAAAAAAAAAAATTTCACATGTAAAAAACTTAAAAAACTATAAGTGCAATTTTTTATAATAATTTTTTTAGTTGTCATTTAATTAATAAAAAAAAATCAAAAATTTTCAGACGTCTGCTAACTAGTGTCATAATAATTATTATAAAAAAATTGAATAATTATTTTCTTTATTAAAAATAATGAAATTATTTTTTTAAATAATTTTAATAAAAAACAATTATTTTATTTATTAAAAATAGAATTTCATAATTTATCGCTGATTTAAAAATTGACAATACGGAAATAATAAAAATATATACTGTAACAAAAATGAATAAATATTTATCGTGTGTACATATATATCAGCAAGCGGGGGTGGTTTTATGGCGACTGACTGGGCTATTCTGGCTCCAGAACAAGTAGTGAAATATTGCCGGAGTGAAAAAGACTATTTGGGATCCGAGTTTGGAGGGTCAGAGATCCCCAGGAGGATGCAGACAATCTTAGGGTCCTTCCCGCTTAATATTGCCCGTGCCGTAGAATGCTTCGGTAGAATGCTTGCGCTAAACCTTAAATTAATGACAATGAAGCTGCGACAAATGCAATTCGAAATTTCATGAGTCACTTGTGAAGAAAAACACCGAGCACTCGATCACCGGGAGAACTTCTGTGCCGACTAGACGAAATGATAAATAATTCTCCATCCAACCTCGGCCTCTGAAAGGGCTCCGGGAGAGGAGTAAGATTAAGAAACAGAGACATGTGTCTTTAATAATCCATCACCGGATAGGAACCTATTTTTGAATCTTTTCACGTACCTGCTCGGAAGCTGGAAGTGAAGGCTTGCACAGCCCCAATGTGTGCTCTTTAGAATTCCACGGACGGCTCCTGACAATCTGCCGAGGGAGGAACTCAAAAACAGGGATAAAAATATAGACAAAGAAAATAACCGAGGGTAAAAGGGGAAGAAAGAAGAAAAATACAAAAGCCGAGAGAGGCAAGACAAAGGACTTAATAACTCGGGGGTTGAAAGAGATAAAAAACATGGGAGAAAGTTCACCTGATCTGAGTCTTCGGCTTCGCCGCGGAAGCTCCGATTCACGTGACTCTTTTTATATGGATTTTGCACAGGTAATTTTTTTTTAATAACACAATTTATATTATTCTTAAATAAATTGAAAAAAGAAATTAAAATTACTGTTCAATTTTTTTTTTAATTATTGAGTATGATAAAATAGAAATGTAATTTGAACTAGAAACCTTGCAGTCACTATGTGACTACACTTTACTATCTTAAATATTGACGTTTTTAAAGATATAAGCTCATCCCGATGTTACATTCATTAAGAGCTTTCATTTGAGTACCCACATGCATTTTGATATATTTTTCATATATACATATATGCAATATATATAAATATATGAAAAATTGATGTGGGTACTCAAATAAAAGGTCTTTATGAGTGTAACATCGGGATGAGCTTATATCTTTAAAAACGTCAATATTTAAGATAGTAAAGTGTAGTCACATAGTGACTGCAAGGTTTCTAGTTCAAATTACATTTCTATTTTATCATACTCAATAATTAAAAAAAAAATTGAACAGTAATTTTAATTTCTTTTTTCAATTTATTTAAGAATAATATAAATTGTGTTATTAAAAAAAAATTACCTGTGCAAAATCCATATAAAAAGAGTCACGTGAATCGGAGCTTCCGCGGCGAAGCCGAAGACTCAGATCAGGTGAACTTTCTCCCATGTTTTTTATCTCTTTCAACCCCCGAGTTATTAAGTCCTTTGTCTTGCCTCTCTCGGCTTTTGTATTTTTCTTCTTTCTTCCCCTTTTACCCTCGGTTATTTTCTTTGTCTATATTTTTATCCCTGTTTTTGAGTTCCTCCCTCGGCAGATTGTCAGGAGCCGTCCGTGGAATTCTAAAGAGCACACATTGGGGCTGTGCAAGCCTTCACTTCCAGCTTCCGAGCAGGTACGTGAAAAGATTCAAAAATAGGTTCCTATCCGGTGATGGATTATTAAAGACACATGTCTCTGTTTCTTAATCTTACTCCTCTCCCGGAGCCCTTTCAGAGGCCGAGGTTGGATGGAGAATTATTTATCATTTCGTCTAGTCGGCACAGAAGTTCTCCCGGTGATCGAGTGCTCGGTGTTTTTCTTCACAAGTGACTCATGAAATTTCGAATTGCATTTGTCGCAGCTTCATTGTCATTAATTTAAGGTTTAGCGCAAGCATTCTACCGAAGCATTCTACGGCACGGGCAATATTAAGCGGGAAGGACCCTAAGATTGTCTGCATCCTCCTGGGGATCTCTGACCCTCCAAACTCGGATCCCAAATAGTCTTTTTCACTCCGGCAATATTTCACTACTTGTTCTGGAGCCAGAATAGCCCAGTCAGTCGCCATAAAACCACCCCCGCTTGCTGATATATATGTACACACGATAAATATTTATTCATTTTTGTTACAGTATATATTTTTATTATTTCCGTATTGTCAATTTTTAAATCAGCGATAAATTATGAAATTCTATTTTTAATAAATAAAATAATTGTTTTTTATTAAAATTATTTAAAAAAATAATTTCATTATTTTTAATAAAGAAAATAATTATTCAATTTTTTTATAATAATTATTATGACACTAGTTAGCAATAAAAGACCCAGTTATTGACACTGGCCTAGTTGATTGACACTTGTAATTTTATTCTAATTACAAAAATAAAATGTTCTCAAAAAACCAATTATTTTTTTTAAATTTATATTTATTAATTTATTAGAGTCGATTTGTATTATTTAATTTAAATAAAATTGCAAGTGTCATTAACTAGGCCAGTGTCAATAATTGGGTCTTTTACCTTAACTAAAAGTTGTGTCAAAGTTAAAAAAATCCAAATTTGTCTTTAAAAAATTGTAAAGAAATCAATAAATTTTTTCAATACAAATTTATAATACAATTGATGATAAAGTAATTAAATTATAATCAGCTTACCACAAAATAACCTAGCCTTCTTGATTATATTCACATTTATTTTTTAAGAATTGAAGAAAATATCCGAGGATTAAAAAAATTAACTAGCTTCGATATACATAATACGTTTATTATTTATCGAAATTCTTCTTTTTTAAATTATTATTTAAATAAATTTTTAATTTAGGACAAACTCTTAACTTCAAAATGGTTTCACTAATTCAAACATAATTTTAAAATAATAAATGTATTTACTATAAAAAAATATTATATTTATTTATATATTATATAGTAATTAATTAATTATTTGAAAAACTACTATTGAAAAATAAGAATATTAAAAATAATTGATAATACTAAAGTTAGCCGACGTTTTTAATTTTTTTTTATTTATCAAATAAAAACTAAAAAAAAATTTTTTTTAAATTGCACTTAGAGTTTTTAAAATTTTTTACTAATCAAATTTTTTATTTTATTTTTTTTGTAACAATTTTTTCAATAAAAAAAATTCTAAAAGTTTTTAGATGTCAGCTAACTTAATTTTTATAAATAATTGAACAATTTCATTGTAAATCTGAAAAAAAATTATAATTCTGAATGACATTAAAGTTAGCAGTCACTGGACAATTTTTTAATTTTATTTAACAAAAAAATTTATCTCAAAAAATTGTTTAAAAAAAATTGCATTTTTTATTTTTTAAAATTTCTAAATGTCAATTTTTTTTTCTAATATTTTTTTGCCATAATTTATTTGGTATGAAATTCTTAGAATTATTAAATATGTGCTAAGTTAATTTTCATTAATTCTGACCTTATTTCTTACTTTTAATAATTTGCGTTTCCATTTTCTTAATTATTTCAATTTAAATAAATAAAAATTTTATTTAAATTTGATTAATTGCTTTTTTATCATTTTCAAATTTTAAATTTTTCCGCACTTTTGAGTTCTCAAAAAAAACTCTCACAGCGCGCTAAATACCAATTTATTCTTACAAATTTTCCCGCCAGATGGTGCGTCGTGCGCTGTAAGCAGGATGAAAATGCGCGCGGGGAAATGCGCATAAGTTTCGGCGTCAAGTTGAGTGAACTAACCAGACTAGACAAGGATCGTGAGGAAAGTGTTAAATACAAGTGCTCCCGCCGATTTTTGTGCTTCAGCTATTTTTCTCACACGTAAGTACTCAGTTAATTACAACATTGTATTAATAATTATTATAATTTCCT